TTTGTTTTCTTTCTTTTTTTTTTTTTTGTAAACAAAAATGGCTGCATGAACATCCAATGAAACCTTTATTCAGGAGTTTTTCTTTGATTCAGACACCAATGATTTCGAAGGCTTTACTCGAGTGGATATTGAGGGTGAAGTGGTCGAAGATTATAATCACGCATCAATACATGAAGGAAAGCGATGATGAGCACGGGTACTGAGTGGCTATCATCATCCATGGCTGACTAATTTCATGGCAGCTACTGGCCCCATGGATCTTCTGCAGCGAAATTATTTTGTCTATTTATAAATAACGAAATAACTTTATTTGCCAGAGGCAGATAAATAGTCAGGTGAAAGAAAGATCAAACAAATGCCAGTGTCTTCTTGTATGTAAACAATGCTAGAGGGAGTCAAGAACTGGCTTTATTATTTTATGGTATTTTAAGTTGGAAATTTCCTACTACTGCTTTGGAACAAGGTTAAACTTGTGTTTTTCAATGCCATTTTGAATTCTTCTAGACTCTACACAAGGTGTAACACCAATTAAACCTACATTAATTTTTTTGTGATTTTTTTTTTTTTTTTTTATTGTAAACAAAAATGACTGCGTCAATATCCAAAGTCTTTATTCAAGAGTTTTTTTCTTTGATTAGTACTCCAATGATTATTTTAAAGGCGTTACTCGAGTGGACATTGATGGTGAAGTGGTCAAAGATGATAACCATGCTAGAGACGTGGAAAGTGATGATGACCACTAGTGGCTACTATCATCCCTGGCTGACTAATTTTATGGAAGCTACTGGCAACCATCAATATACCTGATAGCCTTATTATTTTGTCTGTTTATAAAAAACAAAATAATAACTTCCAAGATTAATTATAAATCACAAAACATGGGTTTTATACAAGGATGAGGCCGAAAAGTCAAGTCAAATCATAGAAGGAAGAAAAATGTTTTATAGATAGCTTCATTTACCAAACAAGCTATTGTCATAGCCTGAAGAATCATCTTCTTTATGTCCCCTCAGGACATAGGCAATCATGGCTCTCCACAACTCCCTGTCTCTTGTAGTTCTTAATAAACTTTGTCTTTGTTATTCCTTCTAAGCCTTTTTCTGTCATCCATTTGCTCAAGATCACATGATAGCCATTTGCTCATTGAGAAAGGGAGTTAAGAACCTGCTTTGTTATTCATTAACCTTTACCACACTGCAGGCAAAAATTGTCACTGCAGGATTCTCTCCCTTTGCTATTCTAGGCACTTTCTGTCTCCTTGAGACGGTTGCTATAAATAAACACTTGTCGACTGTTATTTCCAGGATTTTAAGCTGGAAATTGCCTACTACTGCTTTGTAACAAGGTTAGGCTTCCGTTTTCCAATGCTATTTTGAATTCTAGACTCTACGTAAGGTGTAACATAGAGTAAACCCACATTCTTTTTTTTCACTTTTTTTTTTTTTTCTCTTGTAAGCAAAAATGGCTGTGTCAGTATCCATCAACTCCTTTATTTAGGAGTTTTTCTTTGATGGGGACTCCTATGCTGATTTTGAAGGCTTTACTCAAGTGGATATTGATGGTGAAGTGGTTGAAGATGATAACCACGCTAGTAACAGGGAGGAAAGCGATGAGGAACACTAGTGGCTACTATCATCCATGGCTCACTAATTTTATGGTATTTTATGGTGACCATCGATATACCTGATAACCTTTCTGAAGGTGAATTATTTTTGTCTATTTATAAGCAACAAAATAACTTTATTTGTCAACGAGACAAATATGACTAAGATGAAAGAAAGAGCAAACAAATGCTAGTGTCTTCTCGTATTTATCCAATGCTAAAACAAGTTGCTTGTACCAAAAGTAATTAAGATATTGTGCTGGGATCTCTGGGACAAGAAGGGAAATGAGGCTTCAGAACCAACGTGTTAAATAACATCAATAGTAAATATATTGGTAACCGATTAATAATTGATTTCAGATGACCAGACTTTGAGCCAAAGAAGTGACATCAATGTTTTCTTTGATCATTTATCTACTCTTGAACTGACGGTTGAAATAAGCAAAAAAACACATAAAAGTATTATATACAAAAGTTTTTTTTCAACTTTAAAAATTTCTTGTTTTAATTTCTTCAAGAATTCTGATTAATAATGTTATCTCTCTCTCTCTTCTATATATATATATATATATATATATATATATATATATATATATATAATAGAAAAAGAAATATATTGTTTAAGGTGTGCTATATTTATGGGATAAAGTGCTCAATATCAGAGATTCCGTATGTAAATATAAAAGTGAACATTGAAGTCAACACTCAGAGAGGACAGACTGTTTCATGCTGGATGCAATGTTTTCAGGCCGACACTTGTGTCCAGCATGAAACAGCCTGTTGCCTTTTGAGTGAATTCATATTTATCTGTATAATATATATATATATATATATATATATATATATATATGATGTAACGTCATCCACAAACAGACTGTTTCGCTGTTTCACAGCTCATCAGTGTGGCTAGACATCCGGTTGCCTCTAGCTAGGATCGAAACCCAACTGAATATATATATTCAGTGAATCTGTTAGTTACACCTTGTAAAATAGCCATACATTGACTGATCGAAACCTAATTTTGGTGAGAAGTGCAACAGAGTACAGTTAGATTTACTAGCTTATGTAGCTTAGTATCATAAATTTTCATTAATTTTTTTAGAAAAAAGTATTATTTAACATACAAAATACGTCCACTATTTTAAAAACAATTTAATGACTAAAATAACAAATACTTATTTAATAAAAATGCAATATTGTTTTTTTGCATATCTTTTAAGCTTTTATATATATTTCATTTTGATAAAATATAATCCACTGTATTAACACAGTAGGAAAAATTTCAGATGGGCAGGTGTATTAATCACAAGAATAAAATTTATTCCTAAACCATCAAAATATCCTTTCGAATGGACAAGAATGCATTTTTCAGTTCAGCCTGCATTTGTGAGAACTATAAATAAATCACAAGACCAAATGTTCCAAAAAAGTTGAAATTTGGCTCCAAAGAGAAATATTTACGCATGGCCAGTTGTATATTGCATGCTCAAGAGTAAGAAATCCTACAAATGTTTTCCTTGCTGTTAAAAACAAATTTTCTTAAAAGTATTGTTTACCATTAAGTCCTATGAAATGAAATTATTAAATCACAAAGTAAGTTTTTTGTCAAAGTATTTCTCCAAAGAAATCAGCTTATTCAAATTTCATCAACTGATTTACAAAATTGAACGAAACACAGACTTTGTAAATCTTGACAAAAAATATTAGCAATAACTTCAACAATACTAAATACTGTGAGAATTTCAACACACATATGCATGTTGCCAAAATATTCTAGTTTTTGAAAAGTTTCAGGTAATTCCTTCCACCTCTAAATAATTTTGTAATAATTTGGCATTGGATATGCAGGTGGTGTCAAAGGTTAGCACTTTGGAATGAGAAATTGGCAAGGTGAATTCAAATTGCTACATTGTTTGTTGTATTCAATTTTGCACAAATACCCTTGGGGAATGTAAAATCACCTCTTCTTCCCCTTTCTCTATGGGTGTCCATAGCCTCACACTCAGCCTAAAGCTGGAATTGATCTCCAAATCCAGAATAAAATAATACTTTCCACTCTTCATGGGTGAGTGGTCTTGACAAGAGATTTCCAGATAGTTCTTTCTCTCAGATTAGTTAGCAATACTTGGGAAATATTTAACTGTGTTTTTTGGCTTTGGGCGGGGGGTCTTCTTTTCTTTTCTTTTTTTTTTTTTTTTTTTTTTTTTTTTTTTTTTTTTTTTTTTTTTTTTTTTTTTTTTCTTTTTTTTTTTTTTTTTTTTTTTTTTTTTTTTTTTTTTTTTTTTTTTTTTTTTGTTTTTTTCTTTTTTTTTTTTTTTTTTTTTTTTTTTTTTTTTTTTTTTTTTTTTTTTTTTTTTTTTTTTTTTTTTTTTTTTTTTTTTTTTTTTTTTTTTTTTTTTTTTTTTTTTTTTTTTTTTTTTTTTTTTGTTTTTTTTTTTTTTCTTTTTTTTTGTTTTTTTTTTTTTTTTTTCTTTCTTTGTTTATGCTTGAACTTTAAATCTTCTTTGTCTATTTTAGATGAGAAATGGTCTTACAAAAATCCGAAAGTTGATTGGGACAGGTAAGAAACGTTAATACATACTTTTTTTTTTTTTTTTTTTTTCTTTCATTCATAATATATTTGATGCTCTTTATAAGAACACAGCCATTTGTTTTTTTTTACTTTTGCAATTTTTTTTTTTTTTTTTTTACACGAAATGACTTTGCTGAATTCACCATCAACTCTGTTAGACCTCTTGCATTTAGTAATGAACACTGATTTTAAAACACAATCACTGCTACATTGTTATGGCTTTGTTGCCTGGCTGTGCTGGCCCATTTTTGAGAAAATAGGCAACTACCATTTATGGGAAGCAAATGGCAATAAGGACAAAAGCAGTTGGAAGCTCAATAAGGCTAGTTAGGTTGTGCATCTCAACAGATTGGATGCCAGAAACATGAAATTTAAAGTTAACAGGTTCTGCATTTTCACTTTTCTTGAAATATAATTATAAACAATATTTTTTAATCTTGAAAAACCTGCAAAAAACAAAAATGGACTGTCAAAAGTAAACAGTTTTTTTTTCCCCATTGGCACCACTATTCTTGTAAGAACTCTCAGCAATATTTATTGTTTTTAAAAAGTGAGGATTAGAATTGGAATAAAATCTAAACATATGATGAAAGTAAATTCATACACTTTTTGTTTTTAAAAATTTGCAGCAAAAATATTGAACACTATTAAATTGTTTATTTAGAAAACTAATTTCATATTTACAACATTCAAAAAATCTAATACAATTAGGACTAATGCAATGCAATATTTATCATTTATCAATTTATAAAAAAATAAATATGAAAACAATTTTTTATTCATAAATTTATAAACATTTAGTAAATTATTAAAATATGTGAACCAACTATAAGGAAATTCTTATTATTTACCATTTTATAAAGTTCAAATTGATTGGTAACTAACCGATGTTTTACCAACCATTCCAATAAACAATCTAAGAAATAGTGTTTATTATTTTTGTTGTCAATTCTCAAGAAAGAAAGAAAATGTATGAATTCATTTTCATGTGTTTAGGTTTTATTCCAATTCTAATCATCACTTTTTTAAAACTGTTTACATTGCCAAGGAGGGAAGCTAGTTAAAATAATAGGGGTATAATAATAGGGGTATCAATGGGGAAGAAAAACAAAGTTCTTTTGACATTTTGAAAATTTTTTTTAAAGACCAAAGGTTACAATTCTGCAACATTTGTCATATTTCTTTCCGTACCATATATATATATATATATATATATATATATATATATATATATATATATATATATATATATGTGTGTGTGTGTGTGTGATTCTATCGATAAAAACATTTAGTCTGAAGAAGTCCTTTCAAAGAACAAAACGTGTACCAAAGAATTTTTTTTTTTCTCCTTCAATTACCCGACATACTATCATCTATAGTGTGATGTATAGGGTGGTCTGAAAGTCTTGTCACCCCTAACAAAAAGTAATGGAAAGTAATACAAAGCACATGTACTTGATTCAGTTTGTTCTTTTCATTGACAATTTCACACATCGAAGGTCTGTATGAATGCCATTTTCATGTCATCCATCTGAAATAGAAAATTAATATGTAGGGGTGACCTGACTTTCGGAACACCTTGTAGTTTTTTTTTTTTTTTTTTTTTTTTTTTTTTTCAAAGAATAAAAGTTTGACTTTAAAATAACAAAATTTTTTTGGAATTAAAAAGATAGCAACACAGTAAAATTCCTGTTAAAAAGTACAGGATAGTCCGTAAGTCTTGTCACCCCATACAAAAAAAGTAATGAGAACAATAGAACAAATAATCCAGTTAATACAAATCACATGTACTGGATTCAGTTTTATTCCCTTTCGTTGATGCTGTCACATATTGAGAAGGTCTGTATGAAGACCGTTATTTTCGTGTCAGCCATCTGAAATAGAAAATTATATTACATAGGGGTGACAGAACTTTTGGACTACCCTGTAGATGATTATTGATGTTACCATTTTCAGTCAAATGCCCTGGCTTGTAGCGCTACCATTTTTTCATCTTCCTTTTTTGACACCAATGTACAGTGTGGTCCGAAAGTCTCGTCACCCCCTACCAAAACGTAATGAGAACAATAAAAGAACAAGTAGTCCAGTTAATACAAATCACATGTCCTGGATTCAGTTTATTCATTTTAGTTGACGCTCTCACTCCTCGAGAAACTATATATGAAGACCATCATTTTCATGTCAGCCATCTGAAATAGAAAATTATATTACATAGGGGTGACAAGACTTTCGGACCACTCTGTAGATGATTATTATTTTCAATGAAATGCTCTGGCTTGTAGCGCTACCATTTTTTCATCTTCATACTTCCTATATAGACACCAATGTACAGGGTGGTCCAAAAAATCTTGCCACCCCCTACAAAAAAATAATGAGAACAAATAATTTCAGTTAATACAAAAGCACATATTCATTTTCATTGATGCTGTCACACATTCAAGGAGGTCTTTATGAACAACATTTTTGTGGCACAATGTTCTGTGTGATATCTTATGAAGCTGTGCTCTGTTAATTGTTGCAAAGGCTCTCCCAACGACATCATATCAAATGATAGGTATTCTGATATCATTCATGTGAAACTCTCTCCTTGATAATAACCTCCAGAGCATTGAAATGGAAAATTTATATTATGTAGTGGGTGACAAGACTTTCAGACCATCCTGTATATTGCCTGAAAACTTGAACAACTTCTCTCTCACAAAGTATTCTTTTTTTCTTTTTTTTTTTTCCTCGAATCTTCTGGTAACCGTAAATCCAGCACTGTAAGAGAGAGCCAAATCATCCAAAGACCAACTGCAAAACCTCTGAAGGAAATGGTGAAGAAAGATTCCAAGTTGCAGAAACATTTTCCCAATATAGAGACCGACAAGGAAAACGTTCAGAGTGGCAGGGTTGGGTCTGGGTCCCAAATGTCGTCAGTGGCTGATAAAACGGGCGGGATATATTCCCTGCCAGGTGAAGGCGTTCCTTCAGAGCTGCAGAAAATATGGCGCCTTGTACCAGAAAAGCTGATTTTTATCTCAAAAGGTAACATTTTTTTTTCTCTCCCATTTTCTTTTTGTTTCCCCAGTCTCTCTCCCTATTTGTGCTCTTTTCAATTCCAGTTTTTACTTGAAAAAAAAAAAAAATATTTTGATTTCATAAATATTTATAATTACAGATCCCCAGATATTTTCCATCATCAATTTTGGACAGGAATCCTTAAAGTAAGTTTTTTTTTGTTTTTTGCATTTTTATGGAGGAAAAAGATTCCATCTTTTGTCATTTTTTAAGCTTGACTCATTAATTTAAATGATCCGTGTGTGTGAGAGAGCCTTAATCCTTCCCGCCAATTTACGAGGTGAAATAAAAATGGATGTTTGGTGATCAGTATTTGTGTGGTAAGTGATAGAATAATCAAAAGTGATACTAATTCTTTATACAAGCCAAATCACCATCTTAGGAACATTTCTCTTAGTAATAAATAATTTTAATACAATTCAATAGCCGATGTTATTTTATTTATGGTAACTGGATTGTTGGCAGTTGCCTTACTGGGTTTCTATCATTTGATACTGTGTGTCTCGCCATCACATCTCGGCCTTTTGGCTACCAACAAAGTTTAGTGTCTGTACTTATTATTGACTTAATCTGATTCTCCATCTTTGCTTCTATCTTCCCTTCTTTTTTTTATCTTTTCATTTTCTCTTCTCCTCTTCCCACACAATCAAAACAGAAAAACGTCTTGGGTATGACGATAAACTACATCCGCGTCTTGGGTATGACGATAAACTACATCCGCGTCTTGGGTATGACGATAAACTACATCAGCGTCTTGGGTATGATTTTAAACTACAGTTCTGGTTTGGGTATGACGATAAACTACATCCACATCTTGGGTATGACAGGAAACATGTCCAACAGCAAGGCCTCAGATAATGTTTTTCAGAAAAATAATGTTGCCAGCTATACGTTTTTGGAAAAATAATCGCATTTGCCAGTTATCAATTTTTGGAAAAATAATTTGCCAGCTATACGTTTTTTGAAGTATCCTCAAATTATGTTTACAAAGTAATATATATATATATATATATATATATATATATATATATATATATATATATTTATTTATTTATTTATTTAATATATGTGCAAACTGAATTTGGCATTAAATAACCCATAACTGGTTGATATGCCATAAAACCCCAAACAACCAACCACTCAAAACAAAAAGTCTGGCACAAATTAACATTTTTTGCGAACAGATGAAGAGAGAGACAAACACAATTTATAAAAGGATAGGACAATATTTTCTATAACAAAACCTTGTTTGGTAAGACATTTTTTTGTAGAAAACACCAAAACAAATAATGCCTTGAAATTAAGTGAGAAATATTTCAGTAATGCATCTCAAATGTATGTGTGTATATATAATATGTGTGTGTTTATATATATATATATATATATATATATATAATATATATATATAAAATTGAAGTTTATAAGCAGTAATTTGTTAAAAAAAAAATTAAAAGCTCAAATTTTTTGGATTTATTTTCGTTTAAAAATAACTCTGTAAATGTTAATAGGATACAGTTTTTGAATCCATCGAGTATTTTCTATGAAAATTTCTCAGACATTCAAGGGGTAAATGTTATTTAATACTGTTTATTATAAACAGATTTTTTATTTAAATACTTGTATCTAAAAAAAAAACGTTAAACATAAAAATGTCTTTAATATATGCTAATATATATGTCTATATATATGGATATGGATATAACGTTAATGGATATCTATGTGCATGGATATCTATGTGTATGTGAGAATCACTAATCCCGTTTCTTTCCTACATCTATTGACAGAATTCAATATTTATATCAGCATACCTTTATAGATGTCTGTTTTGTTTCAGACTATTGCAATACACTGTTACAATAACTGTCTTGGTTTTTGGAAGTTTTTAGAAACGTTACTAAATGTTTTTTTAACATATATTTTTACATACTTACATACACACATTTCAAGATATATATATAGATGTTTTTAAAATTTGAATAATCTTATATATTAAAAAATTTTTGTTTTAATTTTTTTATTTTTCTATCAATTTCAAACATTTTATTAAACATTGATTTGAAAATATATATAGATTTTCTCCTTCCTTTTTATTTACAAAAAGATTCAACTATCAATTACATTGTGTTAGCAATTTATCCCTGAAGATGATCTCAGATGAAATGGTTTTAAAAAGGAATGAAAAAAAACACATGGTATTTTTTTAATCAGTTTAATGACAACATTAAGAAATTGATCTGTGAATCTGAAAAATAGTTTTATTCAACCAAACATGATTAAATATATATTTTTATCAGTTTTACTGGGCCTGGTAAATTAGACAAACATGCTTTTAAGCTTATTTTACTGGACTCTGTAAAATAAACCCCAGGCTATTTTGCCAGTAAATATTTTTTATTATTATGAAGGCAAGTAATGTTAAAAAAAGAAAAATAATGTCACACAGATTTAACACAGAAGTTTATTTATTTCCACCATTAATTATTAAGACAATTAAAAATCTTTTCCACAATGAATTGTTAAAATGAGTTAAAATCATTTATTCATCATCAATTATTAAAATAAATATAGAAGTCTCTGAATATTTTGAATACTTCAGGCATAGCAGTCTCTACAATCCAAAATTTGCCATTGGGCATGGTACTTTGCCAATACACTTCAGGTGTACCCACTAAAGACAACAGTCACAGACCACAGAATCCATGTTGTTAAAGTTCTGCTTACACTGCACAGCTACTGTGCTGACAATTTCAAATATAATATTAGCTTTCCCAAACCAGCCTAGTTTACGTCACGAAAATGAGTCAAAATAGTGAAATTTCCTTCAAATTCAACTGGCAATATCTTGAGTATTTTTTAAAGTTATTTTGATAAAATTAGAATATAAAGAAAATTTAATGTTTTCTCTTCATTGATATACAATTCTTGTGTGATAATTAGTTTTTATTCCATGTCCCTTTAAATTAGGTAACGTTTCAGTGATGAGCACTCTTTTTTCCACATTTTAAAATCAGAGACATTCATGCTTATGTTTTGAAATTTGTTGCTCGTCAATGGGCTAAAATAAAATTTGAGGTTATTTTTCATAAAATTTCCAAGTTAAAAACTTCAATGGATCAAATACCAAAGAAATTCACTTAAAAGGAAGAAAAAAAACAAATGAACATTACACCTTATAGCGCAATGATTCGTCTTTCCTAATAAGTTGGTTTCATACCACTACACATATTCAACTCTAAGCACGAACAAATATCCAAGGAGGTGTTTTTGAAATTTGAATTACCGGCCACATTGACTGACATCTCCAGAGCTTTTAAATTCTATTCAGTATCAGTTAACTCCCTTTAGTAACTCAACTCTCCATTTTTTTTTTTGTTCTCTCTGCCATGGCAAGGTATTGAACTCACAACTCTTTGGGTCAAGTCACTTTCTGGATTACTCAATCAAAGCTTGCGAAAAATTTACTGGCATGTCTGTTTTTGAAGAGTTGAGGTACCAAAGATATCCAAAAAAAGCATGACACATGGAATTAGAACAATCTACCCCTGTGGACTAAGTAAAGGGTTCGGTTTAAAATTTCAATGTATCCCATCTGAAGAAGGTTGGAGTAATACATTGACATATTTCTTTGATATTCAATAAAAGAAAGACTTATAGTCCAAATGATGGAAATAATAATTATATTTGTTTAAGCATTAATTTATGCTGAAAGTCCTCATATTATTTCTTAATAAGATTTCTTAAATGATTATAAGGTAAAAATAAAATACTGTTTCATTTAATAAATTTCTACACAAATATAGGTATCCAATAAAATTTTGTTTAAAGATAATTAAAAGAAAAAATATTTTAAATTTTATAGTCTTAAATTAAGAAAAAATTATAATACCAAAAAATAGGTTGGAATCAAACATTTTGTTTTTTTTGAATAAATGTTTTAATACAGAGAATGAATAGTGGTGTCAGGCTACTGACTGGTGTGATTATTGTATTGGAAATATCCAGTGAATTATCTTTTATTATTGTAAAATGTATTTATTTTTTGAAGGAACTGGATGTTAAGTCAAGTTTTTTTAACTAAATCAATTCACTGAAATGGTTAATTATCTTTTTAGATTTTTACTTCTTTTATTCTTAAGTATTTATTTGCAGTTGTAATTAAATACTGTTTTTAATGTAAAAAAATCAACCATTCAATCTTAGTAAATCTGTATTAATTGATGGTTTTAAATTTTTAAAATATGATTTTTTTTTCAAAATCTCTTTACCTGAGAAAAATTTATCTTGGGCAACTGACAGAATGTCTGTCAGTAATTCTCTATTGACCATTAACCCTCAGTAAGTAGACATTTGTTTCTCTGGTCACTTGGATTTGTTGCTATTGATCTTTTTTTCTTTTTTTTTTTCAAAAAAAAAAACTGATAAACTATTTTTCATATGTATTTTCATAGAAAGATAAATTGATTTTTTTTTATTTGATAAAAGTTCATTGTGTGAAAATTTCTGTATCTCCCTGTCATCCAAGTGGGGTATGATTAATTTTATTTAATCACAGCTAAGTCACTTTTGCAGGTAAAAAAAAAAAAAATAAAAAAAAACAATGAATAGAAGATTTCATTAGCCTTTTTTGAGGATGGTTGTAAAATGAACAGTTTCTGCTTCCACCTTTTCTCTCAAACATTTTCTGCTCCAAAATTACAGAAAATTTTTTATATTTATTAAAAAAATATTTCTAGCCATTTTAAATATAAATTTTAAATACTTTTTAAGAACTTCTTTAGATGGCTTCTTTTTTTTTTTTTTTTCATAACTTTTTTGATATATTTTTAAAGATACTTTTTAAATATTTCTACCATTTAAAAACATGTTTCTAAATTTTACCTTTTTTTTAAAAACATGTTTGAAAAATGAAATTTTTTTAAAAAAAAATTTTTCTAGGATAAATACCCTTTTTAAAGGAAATGTTTCTAAGTCACCTTTTTTTTTTTAAAAACATGTTTATATTTTAAATTTCAACTTAATAAAATCAATTATATATTTCTATATAAATATTCTATTTTACTATTTCTAGAAAATACCTATTACTGTTTTGTTACAAATACTTTTTTCCTTTTTTTTAATACTCATTTTTATTATAAATACCTTTCTTGTTT